GAGCTCTTATGTCGGGCCAGTGATACGGCGCGACGAAATTCACTAGGGCTTTTCAGTTATATGCGTCAATTCGAAGAAACATTACGTCACGACTTTCCTGCCTCCACTGGTCCTGCCGCTGTATTGATAGAATCCATTCAGGGTGTGGGTGGAACGATGCAGTTTACGAAAGGGTGAGCCTCGATCTGGGAAGGCTTCTGGTATCTTTACAAGTTTCGCTGTTTAGATTCCTTCAGCGAGCGTTCGAAGCTGTACAAAAACGTGGCGGACTGGCGATAAGTGACGAGGTGCAGACAGGGTTTGGGCGGCTTGGATCGCATTTCTGGGGATTTGAGAGTAAGTCGGTCTTAGCACAATTTTGCGTCCGAAAACTTCGTGCCAACGTATTCTCTTGTCATGTGTGTGTCAAATACGCTGAGAACTTTACCATCATTCTTTTGGAAACAGCAATCCAACAAATTAATTCCAGCGCAAGATGCTAAACCCGATATCGTCACGATGGCTAAAGGTATTGGTAACGGTTTCCCATTGGGTGCCGTGGTGACCACCGAGGAAGTGAGATGTTTTATCGATAGTAGTTTCCAATTTTCCCCGCTTTTTCTTTCCCTCTGCATCTTCAGTTGACAATTCAGATAGCAGCATCGTTCGGAAAGGCTCTCTATTTCAATACGTTTGGTGGAAATCCAATGGCATCTGTTGTCGGAAAAACTGTTCTTGAGGTAAATAGTTCTACTTGGGTTCTGTTTCTTCCTTGTGGACTGTCCCAATATCATTGCTTCACAGGTACTTGGCATACTAAGAATGTGCATCTTAAGATTTTCTCCCTAGCATTCTCGAGGAGTTGCCTCTTCAAACTGTATGTAAAAGGATCTCCGAGTGGAGCTCGGAGCGTAGGGTATTCCGTGATGTGAATGAACCACACTGGATCGCAATCAAGGAGACGTCGGACACTCCCATAATGATCCGTAATCGTGACTATTGGGTGCTCTCATCCGAGCAGTGAGCTGTGGTTCCCAATCCAATGCTGGCAGGCCTCCGTGATAGCTCTCACGCTATCGTGGCTACAACCCATGTTTCATCATTGATCACTGGAGTATGTGTTTCCAACCCTCGAGTAGTTCTGATCTCACTGCAATGTCTTCTCGAAGAAGCGCTACTGTAGCCATCAATCGGATTGATCTTGATGCCTTTTTTGACAAATATGAGCAGTGTCCATCCAGTAGCACAGATTCTAGTCAATTCATCACAGGGAAAGAGAAATGACTCTAAGAAACAACTCAGGACTTCTCGTCAGTTTCTCGACCTGCTCTGGCAGCTGTTCAAGTGTCCTGTGAGTTCACTTCTATTCTCTGGTAGACAGCCTGAGAACAGTGGCCAGGTGCGTACCGGACGCCAGAATGGCGGGACTTTGTCCTCTGCTACATCGTCTGCTTGTCAGAGATGTCGTAACGATTCCGGAACTCGAACGAACACTGCTGCAGCCAGTCATATAACCTTGAAATAATCTTCTCGGTGGAGACGTTTAGTCCTGTAGTCATTCTTCTTGTGCTTCTGTGCATGTGCCGTGTCAGTTTTCCCCCATACTCTCTTCAGTCGAGGAGTCGTGATAGATGCAGGGGAAACGTGACTTTCTCATCAGCGCATCGCAGTGCGAAAAGCGGTAGCTTGTCATGGGTTGGAACAACGAGTGATGGAGAAGACGGATTGACTACTTACTTGTGCGTGGAGGCAGAATAGCCGGGGAATGAAGGCAATAGTTTGCTAATTGTTTTTGAAAACTAGAGGTAGAAAGGGCTACATAAGTACAATCAGGGTAATGCAGAAAGAACGGTAAAAATCCTTGCCACACAAAACGTTAGCACATTTAGTAGAAAACCTCAGCGTCCAGCTATCCAACATGTTCCGGGTGGGCTAGTTAGCGTTAAAATTAGTTGAGAGAGAGAGAGAAACCGTTTTGAGTATCTCCTCATATGTAGAGGGATCTTCATATGTTCAGATACTCACTTGACGACGCAAGCAGAGAATGTAGCATTTAACTGACTACTCCACATTTTTATTTATACACCAGGTGTCAGTAGAATGAGTTCAAAGTTCAAAATTTTAC